TTTAAAATGTCTGCTGACCGTGGGACAGTTACTTACGCCATCCCTTTGTCCCAGGGACACTCAGTTGCCCCAGGTAGCTGCCGCATCCTCGATTTACAGCACAGACTCGGGTGAGCGTGTGCAGGGAGCAGGGGGAGTAACTCAGGAGACGAGGTGGCCCATGGTCACGCAGAAAGACTCGTGGGAGTGGCGAGGCACAGGGACTTTTATTTTTAAGGAAATGGGGCAAATAATATTTAACTTATCCTGAACTAGACGTTCAGCTTTGAAAGATAACTGAGAAAATAGCAGAGAATCACTTGTCATTATTTCTCGGATGAAGTGTGTGACATTGACGGAACTGCCATCTACACCTTATCAGGAAATGCCCACACTGACCCTCTAGTCATTCCTATCAAGTCCTTCACAGATGCTACTGCAAGCCCCGCCCCAACATTACCACCTAATGAATAATCATGAGCGCTGGTTTATAGACATAAGACTGCAAGAGCTTCCAATCTAAGTGTACATTTCAGCTCCTTATTCCTTTATTAACTTCAAAATTACAGAAGTAACATATGCTCATGGTAACACATAAAACTATATGCAGATACACAATGCAAAGGAAGGAATCCCCGGTCACTACCCCCCACAGGGACTGTTAACAGATTAGCGCATATCTTTTGATATTTCTATTCATTCTGTGAAAAAAACAAAATTCAACCAAGTAAATTTGGAGACCTAACTGGCTTTGTTAAACAATTCAAGAGTGGAGCATCCCATCTAGCAAGTAGAGAGGAGCTCTGGGCAGTTGTACAAAGTGGAAGGTTTTTATAGGAAAGGGGTGGGGCAAAAAGTTATTGCTAAAAAAAAAAAAAAGGATTCTTCCAGTCAAGATCACTTTCCTTTAGGGAGAATGACTGGGGGAGGGGTTTTTTGGTTTTGTTTTGTTTTTTAAAGATTTTGCTTATTTGACAGAGAGATACAGAGAGAGCACAGGTAGGTAGAGAAGCAGGCAGAGGGAGAGGGAGAGGCAGGCTCTCCACTGAACATGGAGCCCCATGCAGGGCTACATCCCAGGGCAGATGCTTAACCGAGCCACTCACTAGGAGGGGGCACTAATCATGCAGATGATCTCATCTTCCTGTGAGGGATGGAGGGTCCATGTGGCAGACCCACTGGCACCCATCAGAAAATTTCTGACTAACTCCTTAAGGCTACGTTACTGGGGAGGGTTTAAACTGCAGCTAGATTAGGCAAAGGCCTGGTTTGGCACAGCCCAAGTTACACCATTTTGGGCCTGTGGTTTTCTAACAATTCATTTATCAATACTTGTTGAGCTCCTGCGCTAGGCACTTTTCTAGGCACCTAGGATCAATCAATGAACAAAGAAGAGATTCTTTTCCTTGTGGAACCTACAGTAGAGGAGAAAGAAGCCATTCAAATATAATTTTTTTAAAAGGTAGAATGTAGTCTCTCAGGCAAATATGAGAGTCACAGGTTGATCACCTTTTCAGTGATGCTGTCTTCGGAGCTCCATCTAAAGTAACTCCCTTTCCTCTCCTGTCTTCTCCCTACCTTGTTGCTCACTAAAACATTAGCAGTATGCTACCGTAGTTAAGAATATGAAATCTGTACACAAACTACTTTATGACATTACCAGCTGTGTGTCTTGGTTGATATAACTGTTAGTGGCAGGTTCCTCCCTGGCTTCCATGCAGACCTTGGTTGTTGAGTTCAGCCAAGAAAGAATTCAGAGCCAAACTCTCAAGTAAGCAAGAGTTTATTATAAAAGTGAAAGTACATTCTCAAGGCAGCCATCATACTGAGAGTCTTAGTGTCTTTTCTTTTTATCCTTGCATGCCTTATGGGTCATAGGTAGGACGGTCTCCAATCAAAGGTATTTCCAGTCATCTGAGGGACTCCTCCTAGCTGTTGAGAAGGGGAGTTTAGGCCCTATATGGCCCTTGTCAGTACTGTCATGGCTGCCATCTTCCCTCAGAGGGGAGAAAACTGCAACGTAAATGTATTATAATTAAGGTATAGGTTATTGTAGGGCTGCAGGTTATAGGGAGGAATGCATGCATATCCTCCAGGGGTCTTTTCCAGTTCTTTGTGCCTTGGTGGTGGTCAGCAGTTTCTTGCATTTTTGTCTTTTTAATGGTTGGGAAGTCCTGGGGCACCCAGGTGACTCAGTCCATTAAATGCCTGCCTTCAACTCAGGTCATGATCCTAAGGTCCTGGGATCAAGCCCTGTATTAGGTTCCCTACTAAGCAGGGAGTCTGCTTCACCCTCTCCCTTCCCCTGCTTGTGTTCCTGCTCTCTCTCAAATACATAAATAATTTTTTAAAATGGTTGGAATGTCCCATCTCCTGATCACATCTAGCTAAGTACCTACTCTATCATAACCTCTCTGTACATCGGTTTCCTCATGTGTGACATGCTGTTGCTGTCTGGCTTAAATGAATTAAATTCCAAGATATGCTCTTGGATATTTGACTATTCTACACTGATTATTTTTAAGAAACTGCAAACCCAGGAGAAGTTCTGAAAACTGAGTAGAAGTTACCCTCTTGTAAGAGAGATTTACATGTAGAAGGGAAATGTCCATTCATAAAAAGGGGATGACCCTAAATCTCTAGAAACTGTTATCAACGGAGAAGGAATGGACTTAAACCTTATCCTTGTTTACTGGACTTTTGGTAAACTTCCAAAAATGCCCCCCGCCTCCACCCCTTCTGTGGAGATAGTATTTAAGGTGATGGTTTTGGTCATCTGGGGAGTTATTTGGTTTTCCTGGGTCTTTCCCATGTGTACAGGACGTATACATGTTATTAAACTTCTGTTTCATTTGATTTTCTCACGTCAATTTGTTAGTACAGCCGGAAGAATCTTGAAGGGCAGAGTGGAATTGCTCCTCTTTAACATCCTGTTTTATTTTTTACTAGAACTTAAATTGTACAAGCTGACTTTTGTTCATTTGTATTCTTAGTGTCTGTTTCTCCCCTTACCCGTCAACCCCTAAAATTTGAGGCCTGTGAGAACAGGGCATCCATCCCGCTTTGTCTGTGGATGTTTCCAGTCCGCAGAGCCGAGGCCGGCACAGTCGGGACACGACAAAGCGAGCGCTGTGTTGAGTCAGGAAACCGAGCAAGTGTCGGGAACGCCTTAGAAGACTCAGGGACACGCAGAGTCATTTGGCTCGTGTCCAGCTTCAGACAACAGTGGCTTGAAACGTGCAGGGGCTGCCGGTGGGGCGGGGCACTTTGTAAATCTGAGAGAACATTCCTAGCATCTTCGCTTAAAAAGAAACAGTCGTAATCGGGCCCTTTGAGCCCAGTTACTGGCAGTGGCTGTGTCTTCCTCCTCCTCCTCTTCTCAGTGGTCAGCCTAACCTGAGGCGGAAAAGGCGCACGTTCAATAACCGCGGAATAAGCATAAGTTGGTGACACGTGTGACACGTGTGACATCTGCTGGCGTGCAACACTGCAGAGCGCTCAGAGCTCACCGAGCCGGCGACGTTCCTCACGACGAGAATACCAGTCCCTCGGCGCGGCCGGCGCGACACTCGGCCCGGGGAGCGGCCACCCCCAGTCCTCAGGAAGGCGCCCCGCGGTGATGGCGGCGCGCGGTCCCCGCCCCCCCAAGGCCGCACTCCGAGGCGCGCCCACGGCGGCGGGGAAGGGCTGGATTTCCGCCGCTGCCGCACGTTCCGTCCGCGATCATGAGGGTCAGAGACGGGTTTCACGGGCTGACGGCCGCCTCAGCGCCACGGCGAACAGCAGACACGGGCTCAGAAGAACCCGAGACACGCGAGTCGTCGAGTCCTTCCGAAGACGCTCTCCGCGTCCGAATACGCGGAAAGCCGAGCTGGCCTCGGGCCTCGGCGGCGCCGCTGCGGGCTGCGTCCCGGGGTGCGGCGCTTGCGGTTGCCCGACGCCGACGAACTGAGCGCCGAACCCGACTCTCCCGCGCAGGGCGGTGGTGGCCGCGCCCGGACTGTCCCCTCCGTCATGTGGTGGCCGCGCTCGAGAGACGGCGGGGCAATGACGCGCGGTCGGTCCACGCCGCGAACAAAGTACCAGACGGGGAGTCGGCGCGAAAGCGTCCCGCAGCGCCCCACACCGAGCGTCTGAACGCGCAGCCGCCGCGTCACCGCGCGCCGGGGTCGCCCTCGCCTCACTTCCTCCTCCTGCGCTGTCTGCGGCCGCTAAAGACCGAGGCCCCGGTCGCGGCTCGAACCCGCCTCGGTCGCGCAGCCCCACCCGGAGCCGAGCTCGCCCCGCCGAGGGCTGCCCGCCCGCCCCCAACAGGCACCGGCTCCCGGCGCTTCGGGACAGGGGCGACCCCCGCCGCCGTCGCTCACCCACGCGCGGGACCGGGGCCTCCCACCGAACCCCTTTCCGGCCGCCGGGGACGGCCTGAAGGCCTGGGACGCCGGGAGCCCTCGGCTCCGCGGCCCGCTGTGGGGCGTCCACGCAGCAGCGCTGCGAGCGGGGGCTCCGCTGACCCCGAGGGCAGTCGTCTCCACACCGTCAGCACGTTCGCTTCACTCTCTCAACGTCCTGTGAGAACAAACCACGAACAGCACGATCCTTCCCGCCGTGCTCCTCGCTGCATCGCGCGCAGCGTCGAGGGACCCGCCCCGTCGCTCGAACCGGAACCGCCCCACCCCGGGCAGCTGAGGCCCACGCGGCGCCACCAGCCGCAGCTGCGGACTGGAGACACGTCCCTCTTCGACAGGCCGCGGTGGCTTTCCGTCCTCCCTTCTGCGCCCGCCCCCTTACTCCCTGTTAGAGGCGACGGCGGCCATTTTAGGTTCGGGCGGATGTCAAGTTAAATCTCGCGGCTTGAGGCCTAAAAACTAAAGTCAAGACCAGCTTGCGAGTTCAACTTAAACGCCAGGAGAGGAAACGGCTTCACAGGCTGACCAGGCCGCTGGGAGCGGGGACTGAAGACGCGACAGGCAACCACCCCACCCACCCCCGCGCGCGCGCCCACACTCAAGATGGCACCGGCCTGAGAGTCACCTTTGCGGCCGCTCTAGCTCGGTTCCGGGTTCGTTCTCCTCAGTGGCGGCGTCGGAGGCCTGAAGGCCGACGTTCTGTCCGGCTTCCGGACCCGTCTCTATGGTGGCGGAGGGAGCGTCCCCCCGCGAAGACTGCGCGTGTGGTGGCCCCGGCCGCACAGGGTAGGCGAGGGCGCTTGGTGTCAGCAGGGGGCGAAGAGGGTCCCCGAGCCACGACCCTCGGCCGCCCTCCCGCAGGTAACCGGGAGTCCCGCGCCGCGTTCCGCGGCAGTGCGGGCTCGGGCCGTGGGGGAGCGGCCGCGAGCGGGGGCGGGGGGCGCGCGCCCCACTCGCGGGTCGGCGCTCTGCGCGGCGCGGCTGCCGGTTGAGCTGTGGCCTCCCCCTGCCTGTGCGGGGCGCCCTGCGGATCGGGGCTTCGCGGGCGGCGGAGCCTGACCTGGCGGGCAGGTGTGAGAGGGGGGCGCCGCCCCGGCCGCCCCCGGCGGAAGCGGAGGGACCCCGCTGGCCCCGGGCCGCCGTCCGCGCTGCGGGTCGGGCGAGAGTGCGGGGCGCTGGCAGCGGGGCTGGGAGCGGGGACCGCCCGCGGTCTTGGGGGGAAGCGCCGGCCGCGGAGGGCCCCGGAGGCCCAGCTGGCTCCGTGCGTGCGTCGTGCTTTTCCTTAGGGTGAGGGGGAAGCGCGTCCCGGAGGAGCGTGTTGGGCAGCCGGGTGCGCACCGACGCGGGCCCCGAATCCCGGGGTCGCCGGCTCGCGTAGTTCCTGGGACCCGCGTGCGTGTCCGCGGTCGTCTGAGCCCCGCTGCAGCCGCGCTGCGCTCTTTCGGCCCCGGAGGGCTCGGTTCCGTGCCGCGGGCTGCGCTCGGCACGGGGGACGCGCCTGCAGCCGACCGCAGGGCGGGGGCAGCGGCGTCACCGGACCGCCGTGTCCGCTCCCTGCAGCTCGGTGCCGGCCGCTGTCTCCGGAGCCGGGAGCATAGAACCGGGTCGTCTCGGTTAAAGTTGGGGGAAGGAGCGAGAGTCCCGCAGACGACACGGGTTTCCTGGCGGAGCGTGTGAGTTGCCGGGTGACCTAGACAAGCGCTTGCGTCCTCCACAGGTGGCCCAGAAACGCGACGTGCTGCCCAGGGAAGCGGGGGAGGGGCAGGTGAAGCAAGACCTCGATGCCGTTCAGTCGGAGGCTGCCTCCCCAGCGTCGCGTTACCGAAGGCGGGTGCTAAATCCTGCGGAATAACCTCGCTGGGGCAGGATTTGAGGCTGCCCTTTCCTATCTTTTTGTGACTTTTTTACTTCAGAGCAGTCGACAGCACATCTTTTTCTTGCCTCCTAATAAAGTTTGTCCTGGACGGAGGCTGTACCCCTACTCCTCTGAGAGCATTGCCCTCCTGGCATGACTTCTGGCAAGGTTAATCGTGCTTTTTCTCGAGAAAGGGAGTCGTTTCGTTTCTTTTCTTTCTTTTTTTTTTTCCCCCGAAGTTGTATTTCTTAGTGTCTTAAGCCCAAAATACACACTGCTAAGAAAACTACCAGTTTGAACCTCATAAAGATTTCGTAACTCTAGATGTTGAAAAGCCCAGTGTTCCCACAGGGATGTATTTTGCTATTTAGAAATGACTAAGTTGGGCGCCTGGGTGGCGAAGTCGGTTAAGCGTCTGCCTTCAGCTCAGGTCATGATCCCAGGACCCTGGGATGAGACCTGCCTCCAGCCCATATTGAGCTCATATTGGGCTCCCTGCTCAGCAAGGGTGCCTGCTTCTCCCTCTGCCACTCCCCCTGCTTGTGTGTGCTCTCTCTCTGTCCCTCCCCCCCCCCACACACACACAAAATCTTTTTTAAAAAATGACTAAATGCTCATTGCTGTACCTCTGCTGACTTCCATTGATTCAGCCAGAGCACCGCTCCTCAATCCCGGTGACCATCTTATCTCCTTTGGGGACTGATATTAAAACTAAACAAACACGTGATATTCTGCCAAGAGGATTTTCATTTTCTTACAGTTCCTTATGTGTTGATTTTGGACAGCTCTGTTTGTGGCAAACAGAGAAGGAAGTTACACTAACCTCAGATACACACTTTTCAAAGTAACCCTTCTCTGACTAATTCCTCCAGTCTGACTGGTTTTTCAGACACAGGAGTTACCGTTTTCTGCTGACGAAATGGCAACTGGTTTCAAAGAACATGGACCCATTCAGGCTACCTCAGGTGGACCTCTGGCCGCCCCTGGTAGTAGGAGTGTCAACAAGGCAGGGAGGAAATGGATTTACAGCTGGGTTTCCCAGGGCCTCAAGATGGAGGGTAGCAGTGTGCCTTACAGACCTGGCTGAGCTGCTCCCAGCCTTTGCTTTTCCTTCTGCTGCCAGCTGCCTTCCTTTGTGCTTACCAAGTTTCTGCTTCTTCATGGTTTTGCCTCGCCATAGCCCTGACTCTACCTCATGGCATCCTTTTACCTTCAGCTAATGGAACTATCCCTCGTCATTCAGATTCCTGAGGCAGGCAAGGATCTGGCCAGTTTAGCTCTTCACCCGGCCCCTGGGTGCTAGGGATGGCTAACGTGTGAACTGACTGGCCTTTGACCCAGGGAAGGGCCTGACCCATTTAACCACGCTCTAGAGAAGAGGAGCAAGACCCAAGTGCTGCACATGACCCTCATGGTTCAGCGGGGGATTGTCCCAGGTGGGGTGGGCACCCACCAGCTCCAGAACGGGGGACTTAACAGTAGTTGCTTTTCCCCGTGAGCCTCCTTTAACAACTAATTTTCTTTGTAGTCCTCGCGGAGACTGGGACACATACTTGAGACACTTGGCATTTTTAATACCGTTTTCCCCCCCTTACTGTTCTTAAGATAAATTGTAGAGGAGGTAGCAGCTCAGTGGATTTGTTACAAAGACGACTTAGTTCTTATCCGCAGAAATATTCTTGGACTTTGAGTCATTCCAATCAATTTCAGATCGCCGTAGCCGTGGTCGAGTGTGTTCCCGCTGCACTAAGTTGGGGGGTCTGTGGGCCTTGGCGCTGTCTGGTAGGCATGTGTCTTGAGCAGCATCTCAAGCTTCGGTAACACGCTGTGGTGTGGAACTTCACTAAAGTGGAAGAAAAATCAGTAATGGGTCCGTGTGTGATTGCTGGTATATATTTATTTAAAGGATGGGATTTTTTTAACTGAAATTTTTAAATATCTTTGTTGCACGTTTGGCCCTGTTATTTAGAACTAGCAACTTCTTGCTCCATTGCCAGAGTTAATTAAGAGCCCTCGTTTGGGCAAATTTGAATGTTTAATTCTTTACACTGTGGTAAAGCCAGAACTGCATACTGACATGCATTTTTCAAACATGTAGTTTGGCCTCTACGGGCTTAAAAACATTTGAACCAATGTCGGAAAGTATGGAAATTTCCACATAAATCTTCAGGCTCTTGGATCCTTAATGGTAGATGGCCTGATCTGGGTGGAACTTGGGGGTGGCTGCTCCCCTCAGAGCCAAGCCTCCAGGTAGGCGGCAGCAGGCCTGCTCGAACTGTGGGAATTTGTATCCCCGCTGCAGAGAAAGATGGGGGAGATGCAGGCACGTGTCTGTCTGTCTGGGAATTACCCATGATCTGACCCCTCCCCCAAACCTCTGTTAGGACTTGAGCATGTTTTTTTTTTGTTTGTTTGGTTTTGTTTGTTTGGGGTTTTTTGAGCATGTTTTTTCAAGTCTTTCTGTGAATGTATCTGTATGCGTGTATGTAGATGCACGCAGAGGTGGAGACGTAGATATATGATGTATATTTCTTTTGGAAACAATGTTATTGAGGTCAAATTGACACATAATCAACCGAACATACTTTAAAGCATACAATTTTCCAAGTTTTGGTATTTGTAATCAGCCTTCACCATAATCAAGATCATAACTCTGTCGATTCCCCCCAAAGTTTCCTTACCCCCCTCCACGATCTTCTCCTCTCCCCCAACCCCTCTATCTGGGTCTCCACCCCAGGCAGCCGCTGATCTATTTTCTGTCACTATAGGGTAGTTTGCATTTTCTGGAATTTCACGTATTGTGTGCATTTTTTAGCATTTGGGATAAGAGTTTTGCACTTTCCCCTTTGGACTTGGCTGGAGCATGAGGAGAGGTGCAGGAGCGCTCTCTGTTGTGGTCATTGCCCTTTGTGTTCTGTGAGTTGTCTCTTTCCTTTCCCCTTGTTCTGCTGGTGTTCGCGCTGCTTTGCTTGGCCTGTATGAGCTCTCCACTTGTTAACATGTTTTTCTTCATTGTTAGAAATACTCCAGGTTGGGGCGCCTGGGTGGCTCCGTCATTAGGTGTCTGCCTTCAGTTCAGGTCGTGATCGCAGTGTCCTGGGATCGAGCCCCCCATTCCGTTCCCTGCTTGGTGGGAAGCCTGCTTCTCCCTCTCCCACTCCCCCTGCTTGTGTTCCCTCTCTCACTGTGTCTCTCTGTCAAAAATATAGGTAAAATCTTAAAAAAAAAAATACTCTGGGGCACCTGGGTGGCTCAGTGGGTTAAAGCCTCTGCCTTCGGCTCAGGTCATGATCTCAGGGTCCTGGGATCGAGCCCCGCATCGGACTCTCTGCTCAGTGGAGAGCCTGCTTCCTCCTCTCTCTCTCTCTCTCTCTCTCTCTCTCTCTGCCTGCCTCTCTGCCTACATGTGATCTCTGTCTGTCAAATAAATAAATAAAATCTTTAAAAAAAAATACTTAGGTTATAATGTTCTTTTTATAATTTTAAGCTGTTGTCTTCCACATTATTATACAGAAGTTTTCTCACTGATGAAATATCAGATTTTTGCTGCCCTTTTCTGTGAGGCCGGTATGTGCACAGGTTAGGGAGCACGGATGATCTTGTCCTGGTTTTGATGGGCCCCGAGCCCGGGAAGGGTCTCCGTGGGAGGGAGGGGGTATTGGGGCCCGGAGGAACTGCCTGTGATGCTTAAGTGCATTTTCTCTGGAGCCGTGGATGGGTACTTGCAGGCTTGGCTGGTAACTGGCTGAGCTTTTGCTATTTTTACTGTCACACGGCCTCGTTGGTGAGGATGGGAGGAACAAGCAGGTGGAGGGGCTGGGTCAGGGTTGCTGGGATCTCCAGGACACGTGGCAGACGGACTCACGCTGGTGGTGTTTCCTGTTTCAGCCCCGCTCGGCCTTGAGGAGGAGGCACCGCACTGCCCCACTGCGGAAGGGATGGGATCGGAGAGCAGCGCTTTGAAGAGCTACAAGCTGAAGGAGCCGCCTTTCACCTTACCCTCTGGACTCGCCGTTTACCCTGCTGTCCTGCAGGATGGCAGATGCGCTTCCGTCTTCGTGTATAAGAGGGAAAACGAAGACAAAGTTAACAAAGCTGCCAAGGTACCGTGATAGTGAGGCTTCTTAGTGCTTTCTCCCGTCTCGTTTTCTGTTTAAAGATGTGAAGTCGAAATTACCGAAGGTCCAAGGAGGCAGATGATAAGGAACAGCGTTCTTATTCCGCAGTCCGTCCTTCGTGGGCGAATCTCCCAATTTGCGTGACACAGTCAGATGCCAGGTATAGCCAGAAAGCTCCATGACACTCGGTGTGATAGCTTTTATCATTGTATTTTTTTAGCGAGAAAGTTCGGAAGGTAATTTTACATGGCCAGTAGAAGGTAAAGGAAGTATTATAATCTACCTTAGCAGAAATCTCTTAAGTATTGACGTTTTGGTAAGTATATTTTTTAATTTGTAAAATTTATTTATTTTTACTTATTTATTTGAATTAACTTCTAATGTTTGTATTTTAGTTTTTAAATTTGAACGTGGTTGACACACAATGTCACATTAGTTTCAGGTGTACAACATAGTGATTCGACTTCCCTGTATGGTAGGCCGTGTGCACCATGAGTGTATTGATAACAGACCTAGAAATAGAATATTTTAGAAAGTGTGACTGCTGTTTTTTTTTTTCTTTTCCCGAGGCATTGTGAGGTCCTAGAAAGATTGTTGAGCTGGACACCCCAGAAAGAACGTTGGGCCTGGACTCTAGTCCTTGGGAGGGGCCTCACTCAGATCCTTCACTTCTAGAGGCTTCAGTCTCCTCTTCAGGAGGAGGGCCTCCCTGCTCCCACCTTGCGGCCATTGCTCCTGGAGGGGCACCTGCAGGAGACCCCGACCTCTCACCAGAAAACGTGATAGTACCTCGGTAGAACAATCTTAGCTGTTGTTTTGAACAGAGCAAACAAACATTTTAGTTGGTATTTCCTTGGATATGGAGTCATTCAGATTATCTTCTGGAAGGTTCGGCAGGGGAAGCAGAGTTGTGGCTGTTCAGTGTTCATGCAGGCACATTGCTTCAGATGGACTTAGAGCTTTGTTCTGTTCGAGTTGTGATCTGTAGTCCCGTGAGTCCCTCGTGCTAGCCATAGGTAGGAGACATGGGTATCTCTGCCATAGAGATGGCTTTTGAAATGGCTGTTACCTTTGTTAGTGATTATAAAGGGTTTTAGTATATCTATTAGTGATACAATTTCGGCATGTTATTTGTTATTTGTCACATCAGTTCATTATTTGATGTTATGTCTTTGATGAGGCAGGAAGTTAACTCTTAGAAAGTTAAAAGATGGTGCCTAGGGGCGCCTGGGTGGCTCAGTGGGTTAAAGCCTCTGCCTTTGGCTCAGGTCATGATCCCAGAGTTCTGGGATTGAGCCCCACGTCGGGCTCTCTGCTCAGCAGGGAGCCTGCTTCCTCCTCTCTCTGCCTGCCTCTCTGCCTATTTGTGATCTCTATCTGTCAAATAAATAAAATCTTTAAAAGAAAAAAAAAATGGTGCCTAAGGATCACATTCCCCTTGGGATGCATTTTCTATTAGTTGTGGTAAAAAGCATAGCTGGCTGTTTCATTGCTAAGTAATTTCACTTTTTGGTAAGACAATTTTTTTGTCTTTCTATCCCATCCAGGTACTGTTAATACTTTTTATTGTGATTTTTGCAAAAGTTAAATGCTTTGCTTCACTGTCGGATTCTTATGTGCAATTCATATCTAACATGCTTCCTGCTTTCATTTAATAAGATTGCACATTTTTAAGTAAAAAAAATTAGAGTGAGGGTTCCTAGGTGGCTCAGTTGTTTAAGCGACTGTCTTTAGCTCAGGTCATGATCCTGGAGTCCCAGGATCGAGTCCCACATCAGGCTCCCTGCTCAGCAGGGTGTCTGCTTCTCCCTCTGACCCTCCTCCCTCTCTTGCTCTCTCTCTCAAATAAATAAATAAAATCTTAAAAAAAAAATTATGGTGATTAGGATGATTATTACTAGTGAAATACTAGAGATTTATTATCATTCTTAGTTTTTTTTAATAGAACTATAGGATTTTTTAACATTATATTACTCTTTATGATGTATGTACCAAGAAAGTTGAATAACCCAGATCAGAAATTCTGTTTTGTTTAAGTAGGCTCCACGCCCAGCATGGAGCCCAGCCCAGGGCTTGATCTCACCACCCTGAGATCAAGACCTGAGCTGTGATCAAGAGTCAGATGCTTAACCGACTGAGCTACCCAGGGGCCCCCAGATCATAAAGTTTTTGAAGGAGAAAAAGATCCACTGTCAGTATTTGAGGACTTCTGGGCTGAAGGAACTTCAGAACTTGAGAGGGAACATTTTCCCCCTTCATACATAATCTTCTAAACCACAGCTGACTCTTTTCCAGAAGTTTTTGTCTCTTGTTCTGCAGGCTATCTTGAGGCTTTGAACACCTGACACATGAATCTGGGGATGTGAAATGGCAACAGAATGATACGGAGTTTTGATTTAGATGCAGTACTTGAAAAAATGTATCGTGTTTCATCAGGTTTTAGGACCTTGATTTTCCTGGATACCTGAAACATTAATACAGTCAACTCACCTCACTTCCTCCAGAGTTCAGGCTCCCAGTCCTCCCTCTGGTAGTTTCAGTGACCACTTCAAGAGGGTATACAGCGTTTTCCTGGCAAACATTGTTCGGTCGTGAGCGTGCTCTTCCTCTACTGTTGTAAATAAAAACAGGCTCCGTGCGATGTGACCTCTGGAATAAGACGAAATGCAGGCGTAACCTTTGGCCACAAAACAGTATTAGAAGTCTTCTCGTTTTATCTTGACTTTCTTAGCTGTTACAGCATTTTCTCCATGGCGGTTATGACTCATTTCTAATGAAGAGTAAGGAATGATAAGTCCTAAATTGGAATTTGGTTACTGTGTTTGCTGTCCTCTGAGCGCTTCGTTAGGGCCTCACGGGAAGGACGGACTCGCAGAAGGATTCCTGACTGTCTTCATGCCACCAAGGCAGCCACGTTGGCTCCGGGAGTACGTATGTGGCTGCCGTGCCCAGGCCTCCTTCGTGATGGATTCAGGCGGCCCTGCCGAAGGGCTGGTCGGCATTTTTGAGAACGCATATCGTGTGGTGATGAGAAGAGATGACTGCTCGCGCTGATCACTTCTGGAATGCTCTGCGGCTCTTCTGTCCACGTGCTCTTTTTGTTCCTTTCCCTGTTAGGCCTTTTCTGTGCTATTTACAACCCTTATTCCAGTAAATCAACTTCCCTACGCTGTCAGCTTCTTAAAAAAATATTTCTTTCCCCATATAATCAAAATCTGGTTCTCTTTTAAGGTTGCTAAGCATTGCCAGTCAGAAGAGCTTCAAAAGTTCCCCTCCCCCGTCCCTGGGCTGTGTTGGGCCACCTCCAGGTGGCGCCGGCCCCTTCTAGCCACGCCCATTTTCAGACTTCACGTTCTCCTCCTCTCCCTGTGGTGGTGGCGGTGGTGGCCGACTTGCGGCTCTCCGCCCCCAGTCAGGTGTCCGCCGGAACCTCTCTGAGCTCCAGATCCACATTCTCACTTGCCTGTGGAAATCTCAACCTGGATATTTCTTTGGCACCTCAGATGCGGGCTTTGCAACCTGGGATCCTTTCTGCCATTCCCGTCCTGCTCTGTATTCCTCGTTTCTCGTCGAACCTCTAGGTGCTGGCATTTAGAAACCACCTACTTCGTCGCTGTCTCAGGTTCACGTCTTAAGGGGAGAAGGAAGAATATTTCTCCCTGAAAATTCTTGCTCTTTAGTTCAGGCATCTTGGTTATTCTGTCGTTTTTCTTCAAGGCAGTGAAACTACGGCTCGCTTCCTGGCTAGAAACTTACAAGTGAATCGGAGCTGAGTAGCCGCTGTGTTGTGTGGTTCTCAGAGTGAAAAAGCAGACGAGACCAGGGCAGAATATGGTAGTGAGAAGCTCAGCCCCTAGGGCTCGAGTTACCCTGCTGTGGCTCACAACCCTTTCTGAAAAGTAGAAAGGGTTTATAGTCAGGACTTGACTTTCACACTTAACATCTCCTTGTGCACGTGGATGTGGATGAATGTGGACAGGTTTCCCAGTGCTGCTTTTTTTTAACGATCAAGGTCCTTATTCAGAATCCTCTTCCAAAGGCCAGCAGTAGAGCAGTGCATGGGGGTAACAGGGATTCGTAACTCTAGGACAGAGACTTTTTTTTTTAAAGATTTTATTTATTTGAGAGAGAGTATGAGAGAGAGACAGAGCACGAGAGCAGGGTGGGGGGCAGACGGAGAAGCAGGCTCTGTGCTGAGCAAGGAGCCCGATGCAGGGCTTGATCCCAGGACCCTGAGGTCAAGACCTGAGCTGAAGGCAGATGCTTAACGACTGAGCCACCCTACGAGAGCTACTTTCCAGGTGCTCCTTCCGCTCAGTCCCCTTTCTCCACCAGAACAAGAGTCATTTATCTCTTTCGGTGATGAGAAAATCTCATCACATTTCACAGGTGCATCTTGTCACTCTCTCTGTTCTTTGGGGCAACAGAAGCTTAAATCAAGAAACGTTTCTGTTTGCGGGCGCCTGGGTGGCTCAGTGGGTTGGGCCGCTGCCTTCGGCTCAGGTCATGATCTCGGGGTCCTGGGATCGAGTCCCTCATTGGGCTCTCTGCTCAGCGGGTAGCCTGCTTCTCTCTCTCTCTCTCTCTCTCTCTGCCTGCCTCTCTGTCTACTTGTGATCTCTCTCTGTCGAATGAATGAATAAAATCTTTAAAAAAAAAAAAAGTTTCTGTTTGATTAATTGCTAACTTCCCTGTGAATCTGAATGTATAATTTATGCAAAATATTGTGTGTGCTGAAGAGGAGTGACGAGTGAGGTTATGGCTGCTAAGTTAAGTGCCCTGTTTGGAATCATGCAATGACTTACTCCTTCCTTCTTCTTCAGTAAACAGACGAGTCACTGTGGACCGAGAATTCTGCTGCGAATGTAGGGTTAAAAAAAAGGCAGAATGAAATTTATTACTTCACTTATTAACGGGGTGAAATTTACTGACTCTGTATTTCTATGCCAGTACTCAGCCAGGAAGTATTTCTCCGGATTCACTGG